CACACTAACACACTCTCACTCTCTCCCGGAATCCAAGGAAGCTACCCACAGGCCGGCCGCGCGCCGCCAAGGCAGCAGCTACGGCACGGCAACACCGACCCCATGATGTTAACCAACAGCATCGAACAAAGCTCCCAACAAATCCTGCGCGACCAGGGCGCTTCGTGATGTTCATCACCCTGGGATTCTATCCTCGCGCATACATCCAAACAATCCATCAACGATACATCCAATCGCGCGAGGCACGGGGACGTAGACACGACGGCGATATCGTGGAAACCCAACCAATCGATAACAAAGGCGGCACGACGGTAATAGTAAGATGATAAGACGAGAGAGGCCGCACTGGCGCGCCTACGCGCTATTTATAGCGGTGGCTGGGGGCGTGCCTACATGGTGTGGTCTCGGAGCGAACAAGGTAGCCGCCGTAAAGCGCGGCGACCGTGCTCACGACCGAGACGCGCGGCAACACGGTGCTCCCGGCCACATGCTGTGAGGAGCGGTCGATCGCGAGCCGCGACAGGCCCAAAGTCCTTATTATGGGCCATGTTGCCTCAAACAGGAATCCGAACAGCTCAACATACTCAAGATAGGATAACAGAAGTCGCTGATTCTAGATATGAGTAAGCACATGTAAGCTAGTCGAGGTTGGATATCTGTAAGCGTCGCAAACCAAAAATGCGACTACCCCATTTTATGAGCTTTCCGAGCTTTTCATTTGGTAGAGGAATCAGATTGTGTGAAATTCTGCTACGCAATTCTTCACATTTGCAGAATTTCCTAAGAAGGGTAGCCAAGTCGCAAGTATGCTAAAGCTACTACTGTAATCCTGCAATAATTGATCATATTGTAATTAAGCCGATGCCAGCTCTACAAAGTGGCATCAAAAGTTCGGCAAAAGATTTAACGGGGAGAGAGATATTGAAATCAAAATGTTTTTGCTCACTTTTGGCAAACCCTGTATGTCACTTGCTTAGTGCATCTAACCATCGACATTTTATCAGGAGATTCCGTACCAGTCTTTGGTACCCATATGCGATTCCTTTAAAGCAATACAAAACGTATTTACTCCCTTATCTTTGTATACTTTCAAGAAGTTTTTGTTTGAATTTCTGTATGGATGGAGAAATGTAGAGCTGGTTTAGCTTCCAGCGATCGTTCCGCCTAGAGGACTATATCAAAAACGCAAAAAGGCTTTTACCTAAAAGTGAAAACGATAGAGAGTTTTGTAATAATTTTCTCCAATTTATATCATTATCTAATACATCTAGAGAGATTCGTGTGAAGGGTATGAAGTTGTGCAGTCATGAGTTTCTGCATACTTTTGTGCAGATTGTTTCTAATCTCCTCATCCTTGCAGCTACACTGTTAGAATGAATGTAAGGGCTAACCAACTGAATTTGCTTCTCAGAAACTTCAAGTTAGTTGTTCTTTGTTTGCGATGCTAATTAGTGGGCCCATTTTTGGTCCATATCAGATCCAGAAAGTCGCATTCTCATAAAGAACAAAATATTCGCTACAGGTAAGTTGTAGCGCCCCCTTAGGATAAGCCGCCGAGGGTAAGAATAATGTGACAAGTGAAAGCGCCTTTGAAGTGTAAATACAGTGCTAAACAAAATTATTAATCCACTCTAAAAACTGCCGTAATTTGCGTCAACAAACCTGTCTGAAATTTTGCTGTATTGTGCGCATGCTAGCCTACCATCATTTTTCAAAACGGCTTCCAATCTTATGATCTTATGATTTCTTATGATTTGATTAAATATAGGGGAACTTGGAAGGGCAGAACTGTAAGCTGGGCACTACTAGATATTCATACATTCTACAATTTACACTGTTATAAGTTGACTTCTAAACTGTACACAGTTACGTCTTGATAGTACATTTGCAACCAAGATTTGTATGTAGTCCTATTTAGTAAATGATCACTGCATTTCTTGCTCTAAAAAGTCAGTATAATCTAATGAGCTTTTATTCAATTCGAATGAAATCCAAGGAATCCGACAATGAGCTTACTCAATAAATGAGGTAGAAGACTTTAGTAAAAATTGCTAATCGCTCATTACGGAGAGTTGCATGCTTCTACAGCACGAATTCGATGTTGAGCTATGGATATGACCTGTGGTCGTACTCATCGACGAACCCTGATAGTTAGTCACCTTGAAAAGAAGTTTTACCTTGGAAAGCGATTAACCCGTATTCACGAAGCACAGGGTAGGCTTAATCCTCGAGGGTTAAATCTTTAAATCTACGCTTGAGGATAAAACTTACCGCGAAAGGCGATTAATTCGTACTCATCAACGTGATTCATCAGGGTAAATTTGACACTAGCACAGAGCAAGGTTTAGCTTACCCTGAAGACTCCGTACAATCATAAGGTGATCCCTCGATTCATTGCTTGGCCCTCACGATACTATTTGATAACCACATATGTATATGGTAATTAAATAGTATTTGAGAACCACATATGTATATGTTAACGAGTTGCATCGCCAGAATGAATCGAGAGATCACTTGTTATGCGAAGTCTTCAGGGTGAACTTAACCTTGCTTTGTGCTAGTGTTAAATTTACCCTGATGGGTCACGTTCATGAATACGGGTCAATTGCTCTATAGGGTAAGTTTTACCCTCAATTGTAAGATTTACACCCGAGTTCATTGATCGATACGGGTCATTCAAATTCCTAGGTAAACTCTACCTTTCCCTCAAGGCTTTGTTGATGGATGCGGTCACTGGTAGCTTTGCAAAATGACTCTTTTTGGTGATATTGGTGAACAAGCACCCACAGAATTTTTTTTTGCTGGTTGGTGTCAAAAGTGTTTGAGGATTTCTGTTGTAAAAGTGGTGGATCAGTTAGTTAGTTACAAACCTCTACTAAATTGTGCATAGGATTCTGACAAGTTGGTAAAACTCTTGATCGTGAGAGTGTGGACCATCAATCGCGAGAGTTGAATATCGGCTATAGTAAAGTTTGTCACGCGCGTCTTAGACCTTATTTTTCCGGGCTCTTAGAAGGAATCGCCGAGGGAAATATTATGAAAATCACTGGGCACCAGTTTAATGGAAACCAAGGGTTAGAGGGTGAGCAAGTTGTGGAATATAGATCGCAGTGTACCGGTGTAAACCGGGAGGAACCTCTAATACATTCAAAGTCTCTTTTTATACGCAGAAAGGCGGAGCTGAACCGAGTACAGTCGAGTAGATTTAGCGGTAAATATAGTGTGCTTGCACAGAAGGTGAAATGCGGTAAAATTGGCGCGTGAATAAATAGTTTCGACTGTGACGCCGGCCAATTGCGCGCGCAAGATACCCGCGGTACTGACGTGGCTACTTGTTCACGCGCAAATTTCACAGCATTTCACCTTCTGTGCGAGCACACTATATTTACCGCTAAATCTACTCGACTGTACACTGTACCACACACATGAGTTAAAGGCAGTACATCGGCAGAATGAGACCCGTGACAAAACAAAGTCACAGGGTAGGAGCCCCCATATGGAACCTATGGGCCAAAGTTCGATCTTTCTCTGCCACTTCTAACCCCGAAATTTCAACGCGAAAGCAGCGCTCATCTCCTCTCCTCTCCGAACCCGCCCACCCCATGTACGAGTGACTTCCGCGGCCAGAGCGCCAGCCGCAATGCTATAAGCATGAGGTCCCGCAACGACTCTGCGTCTTCGCCATGACGGGCTTCGCGTTCACTCGTCCATGGGGTGGGCGGGTTCGGAGAGGACAGGAGATGAGCGCTGCTTTCGCTTTGAAATTTCGGAGGTTAGAAGTGGCAGAGAAAGATCGGACTTTGGCCGATAGGTTCTATATGGGGGCTCCTACCCTGTGACCTTGTTTTGTCACGGGTCTCATTCTGCCGATGTACTGCCTTTAATGCTTTTAAGAAGATACCGCAAAATGGCTACCTTTTGCCCGCGGGTACCACTCTCTCTTAAGTGATTGGATACTCAAGAGTGAATAGCTCACAATAGCTTACGAGATCCCGAAGCCTATCTAGAGTATAGAATTCTTAATGGTTGATGATACAGAAATCTTCAACACTCGCTCAATTTGATGAAAGAATAAATGAAATTCCTTCTAATACTCGTGCTGTATCATCTGTTGCGAGGCGTCGGCACCACCAGGCTATCGTGGATTTGGTGACATTCCACTCGTATATTGCGACACATATATTTGGCAGCCTCACATGTTTTGCTGTGGGGGTGCTTCTGAAAATTCGAAATCATCGAAGGTTAGAGCTTTGCTTGCGCGCTTATAAGAATGGCGCCATGCACTTGCCCATCTACAGACCTCGATCAGCTTTTTGACACTAGCATCTCAAGAACATGCAACTGATTTTTTTACTCGAAAAAAACTGTATTTATTCTTTAACACGTTTCGGACCGGATTTTTCAAGGATCTCCTTAGTGTTTGCAGGAGATTTTCTTTTTGTCCAAGGTCATCAAGTCAAAGGCCTAAGCTCCTCCTTTTCAAATTACCCTGTAAGGCTGTGCCGTCGATATATGTTTGAAAGATACAAGGACAATTCAAACAACAGTTGCAACGAAGTGCGGCAACGCGAACGATGCTTGCGACGTCGCAACTTTTCTTGGCTTCGAATTCAAAGAGAAAACCGTAGTTCCAATAATGATGTGTATCGTGTACAACACAGATACTTTCGGATCCAATAAAAAACTGAGTTCTTATTCCTATCTTTCAGCAAAGCACAGAAGTCCTTCACAATCGACGAAATTCAAACACTTCGAATCCACTCAGAACTTTGGCTACGGGACTTATCTGACAAGCTGATCACAGATGCAACATATAGTCTACGAAATAGGGTCCCTTTGTTGGCTGATGGCTGAAAGCGAACTCTTTTTCGCCGCGCGCAATTTCGCGGTCCGAAACGTGTTAAGTTCCCAACCCCATGCTTTTGTATCACTTTTTACTTCTATACTACATGTTTCAAAAGTCGTAACTATATTTTCCAAAATAAAGATAGGATCTGATTCTCTCGGCAAAGGGCCTTCAAATGTTTTCAGTCAACTACAATATTTGACACTGATTGTATGTTGGCAGAATCATAACGCGGTTTTGCTCAAAACATCTTATATCGACTTCAGTATCTTCGCCACTGCGGTGGCATCCAGGATGGTGGAGTTACATATGAAGGTCCCTGTCCTTGTGGTGAAGGCGGACGCACATATGAAGGTCCCTGTCCTTGTGGTGAAGGCGGACGCACATATGAAGGTCCCTGTCCCTGTTGCCCAGGTCCTGGACGAAAATCCCACGGCGGTACGTAATCTGCTGGTGGCGACATTTGTCCCGGCCAGTGCTGTCCTCCTCCTCCTGGCGGTAAAGGGTGTCCTTGCGGTGGCCGCCCGGGATTTCCATATGAAACAGGAATTAGAAAAGGCCCCTGAATTAAGATTATTAGAAGTTTTCTAACAGTTTTGCTGCTATAGACTTGTTGAAGCATTTTGAGCGTATTATTTTTAGAAGTCATTGAAAAATAGGCTAATTATACCCTGTTTATCCTTATCCTCGGTTCAGCTTCTATAGCGTAGCCGACAAAAATTGAAATGACCAATAACCACTCCATGGTATTCTGCAAAAGCGCTAGCTAAATCATAGAAGATATTGCGAAAACTGGCTTATATCTGAGTGAAGGTGAAGCTTATGGTAGATTACATCTTAACCGTTGGTACTGACCATATATTGGCGCAGTGAAAAAGAAGCTCTACGATTCCTATTCCAAAACACTTTCTATTCATTTTCAGACAAAGTTTGCATATTAGGAATAAGCAACCATGTGCTAAAAAAAGAACGCGAGCATTCCTTATTCAGAATTTGTGAATATGCATTAGCTTGAAATGATAAACAGGGATCGACTTATTTGCTATGCCTATTTACTATGTCTATGAACAGTACCACAATGTCTGCTATTTTGACGTTTTTGGCATTTTTGAGGAACCAGAGCGGCAAGTCTTTAGCAGACTTTGTTTAATTCCATACCTCAACGTAGCACAAGACCTTAGTAGGGGACTCCGTCTCCGTGCCGGATACGCCTTCTCTGCATGAGCAAGATTTTGCAAACATTCTGAATTTTTCGTTCCAAGATCAGTATGTCAAATCTTAACAGCTGAGGATCATTTCCTCTTTGTAAATTAGAGAATCGATTGTCGAATTTTTTCTATCGAAGCTGTACATCCCACAGCTATTGTCTCCCATTAATCTATTAGGGTGATCGGTAAAAAATGAGGCAGCTTGATTTTTATTAAATTCTGAGATTTTTTGTTTCGATCAACAACAAGCAGGCTGCAACGTAAACGTCACTTATAGCGACCTTCGCCTATTATTCTGGCAGAGCGTCAACGTTTTTCTCCCACAACCCTACGCGTGGCGCCCGGAAGAACTCGAACAGGGTTTTTTGAACATCGCTCATTCTTGCGCTCCCATAGTCAAGTTATAGAGCAATTGATAAACCATTCGAAAGAGCTCTTCATGCTCTTCCAAACAATTTATTAAACATACAGGATTTCTTTCCATTTCTGGGTAAAAAAAAGCGAAATACCTGAAAAATCGCGAGTTTTTGGAGCAATAAAAAGCCAAAAAATCATGTTTTGCCTTATATTTTCCGAAGATAGATGAAATGTGAGGTAAGCTGCACGTGGGTGGATAGAGCGTAAAAAGCTCTTTCAAATGGTACCTATAAAACATGCGTTCACCTGCAAAGAATTGAATAGCACGAATCTTTGTTCTCAAAGCTGCTAATGGCCATATCTCCTGAATTTGAAAGTTGAGGCCAGCAACCCATCGTGGGTCTGATGACTGTACCTTCGCGCATTGCAGTAGTAGTACTTTGGATGGTTTCATACCCTCAATACATAGAGCCACATACTCTGGTAACCTTCACTTTGAGGGCTATGAGGGGACACAACTTTCACCTGGAAATGACAGAAGTCATTCGGGGCTTCGCACCGGATTTTATTATCCTGATTATATCGAAAAGAATGTTAATGAAGCAAATACAGGGAATAAAATCTTTAGCTTATCTCAGCGAAACCGAAAATTTACGTTTTTATAGCTTTTTTTACTTTAAAAAAAGGTTTCTGTGGGATTCTCGCCAGAATTCAAAACAAAATTTCTTAAAAATCGAGTTTCAGAAGTTTAGGAAAGCTATTGGAGTTAAATAAGAACAAGAAACTGCTTAGATCTTGCACAGAGAGTCGCGCACGAAAACTCTAGTCTATCTCGTTAATGAGTGATTTTTAGAGCTTGGGACGTTCTTAGTTCTCCTCGTGTCATGGCGATCAGCATGATATATAATGTTGCGGGGTTATGTTGAGACCCCGCGGAGATCTACGACCAGAGCCAAATGCCCCGTCGGCTCTGGTCTGTCTCCGCTGCTCGTCTGCGTCTCCGCGCGCTGCGCGCTACCTCGCTACCCCAAACGCGGGGCGCGGGGCATTTGGCTCTGGTACCCTTTTCTTCGCTGTTACAAACCCAATTTTAGCAAACTATATATCATTTTGAAATTCTTGATCTCTATTTTCACGCTGACAACGTCCCAAAATCAAATTTTTTGGTTTGATCGAGAAATCCGGCGAAAACCTTGTTTTCGAAAATCTCTTGTTTTTCTTCTAGTTTAACTCTTTTCATGCGGTTTTTTCATGCACTCTATAGATCTTGCTTCTGTTCATAATGCAGACAACCACCCAGCTCTCTTGGATTATGGTGGAATTTTTTGCGAAAAATCGTAAAAAGTGCGTTTTTCTTTACCTTGTTCAGTTTCAGTGCTTTCGCATCGATTTTTTTCCAGCTTGGGCGATTATTGCTCAGAACAATAAGTGCAACAATCCAGACAACGTCCCAGGAAACAGGAACGTCAATGCAGGGGTAAAAATTCAAAGGACGCATCAAAAATCAAAACCACGTGCTGCGAATTGCTGGTCCTGAAGCGAAAACTTGCACTCTGAAAAGCCGCCAAATGAAAGATTTCAAGCCTCATTGCAGCGTTTTTATCCGGTTTTCAGCAGTTCCTTTTGCTTTTTATATCTGTTTTATGTCATTTTCTCTTCTCTGTGCATCTTCAAACAACCTTCACTATTTATGACGTCAGATGTTCAAACAACCTTCACTTTTGACGCCCTGTCTCTAGACTATCGAAGGTATGGTCCTGGTACGCTTCGCATATTTCCTGAAACTCATGAGCGCATGCTAGTATGCTTCTGCATTATACAGTACTTGTATTTCCATATTTTATATTAAAAATGCTGTTTTTTGGCTTAAATTATTTACGAGTATTCTATTCATGTTTCCTAATGAAGAAGATTCATGATTTTCCAAATATTTCCAGCTTTAGCATCACATGCAAATCATCTCTACGGACAAACAAAATCTGCCTAAAGTCTGTGGAGTATCCTTGAGATTTTGGAAGGTCGGGTGTCTTCCAGATAACCAAAGTGAAGGTACTCTTATATAGGTTTTCCATGGTTGGATTTTCAAACGCTCATGACCAGAGAATCCCGCAACAGATAAGGAAAATAGATTTGGAATTAGCTCATCAAGACGCAATTGAAGAGTTCTACGTAGTTCGGTACCTTTTTTCACATAGCTAAAAAGCTTTCGCTTCACAAATTGCTTAGGTTCGGCTGCTTTATTGTTTTCTGCTGATTGTGTGTTTGCTTTAAGTAGAACTTTAGAGAGAATTTTCGTTGCAGTTTCATACCTAGTGATATATTATTGATGTATGGGTATGGGTGCGGGTATAGGTCTCCCCAAATATGGGTCGCAACATTTTGTAATTTACCTAAAGATGTGGAAGCGACGTCTTCTTACTTGTCATTTCGTGCCTAGCTCTATCGGGAAGCTACATGTATCAACACAACACATTGTGTTAACACATGATAGTTTCCCGTGTACTCACTCTTACGAAATCTTGTGACTTGAAGATTCCCCGCGATACTGCCTCTAACGAACTGTACCATATTCATAACTAGCTGGCTTACCCGGCTCCGCCGTATCCGGACCAAACTTGGCACACATACACTTCGGGCCCCGGCGGGTGTCACAGTCCACTTTTCGTTATCGATCGATGTCGATTTTACCGATTTTTATCGATTTTTTGGCAGAGTTCACCTACAGGGCTAGGAGTTGGCACAGGGGGGAAGTGAGCATGGGGATTCCGAATACAATATTAGTTTCCAGAATTATCGATTGCTTTTATTGATTTTATCGATTTTTTGGCAGAGTTCACCTACAGGGCTAGGAGTTGGCACAGGGGGGAAGTGAGCATGGGGATTCCGAATACAATATTAGTTTTCAGGATCGTCCATTACTTTTATCGATTTGATCGATTTTTTTTGCAAAGTTTGACCTGCGGGGCTGGGAGTTTGCACAGAGGGTAATCGAGCATGCAGATTACGAATACAATATTAGTTTTCAAGATCGTCCATTACTTTTATCGATTTTATCGATTTTTTGAAAATTTGAGCTAGGGGGCTGGAATTTGGCACAGGGGTGTTCGAGCATGCTGATCACCCCCCTTGGGGATGATCAGCATGCTTGATTACCCCCCTGTGCCAACTCCCAGCCCCCTAGCTCAAACTTTGCAAAAAAATCGATAAAATCGATTAAAGTAATCGATAATCCTGAAAACCAATATTGTATTCGGAATCCCCATGCTCGATTACCCCCCTGTGCGAACTCCCAGCCCCGTAGCTCAAACTTTGCAAAAAAATCGATAAAATCGATAAAAGTAATCGATAATCCTGAAAACCAATATTGTATTCGGAATCCCCATGCTCGATTACCCCCCTGTGCCAACTCCCAGCCCCGTAGGTGAACTCAGCAAAAAAATCGATAAAATCGATAAAAGTAATCGATAATCCTGAAAACCAATATTGTATTCGGAATCCCCATGCTCGATTACCCCCCTGTGCGAACTCCCAGCCCCGTAGCTCAAACTTTGCAAAAAAATCGATAAAATCGATAAAAGTAATCGATAATCCTGAAAACCAATATTGTATTCGGAATCCCCATGCTCGATTACCCCCTTGTGCGAACTCCCAGCCCCGTAGCTCAAACTTTGCAAAAAAATCGATAAAATCGATAAAAGTAATCGATAATCCTGAAAACCAATATTGTATTCGGAATCCCCATGCTCGATTACCCCCCTGTGCCAACTCCCAGCCCCGTAGGTGAACTCAGCAAAAAAATCGATAAAAATCGATAAAATCGATATCGATCGATACGAAAAGTAGCCTATGACACCCGCCGGGGCCCGAAGTGTATGTGTGCCAAGTTTGGTCCCGATCGGTTCAGAAATGGAATTTTCTATTCGGAACATACGTACACACAGACATACAGACATACATACATACATACAAACAGACATTCAGCTTTATATATAAGATTCAATCAATTTAGACATGTCGCAAGCTAAGAAGCAAAAACTTGAGCGAAAAGTCCCCGTTTTTACTGAAGAAAAAACCAAAACTTTTATATCTCTATATTTAAGAAATAGAGAGGAATTCCAAGGTAATTTTGAAGAAGTATAAAAATTTTTTTGACTTCTTTAGAAATTCAAAGAAAAGACAAGTGGTACAGAGGTGTGATATGAAGGATTTTTCAATGCTTTGTTTAAAAGGTCATCTAATAGAGACTTTTTTGACTCAAAGCGTTGTATTGTTATCAGTCGACATATCATTAGG